ATGTAAGAATTATTGAATAGTGAATACAAGGTAGGAACAAAACATTCTAAAAGTTGATTTTTCTTTACATATTTTGTAGCATCAATTGTGGGTTTGCATGGGGAGGGTCCCCAGCCTGAAGCTTATGCTGTTTGGGGGGCCACGGCACAGAAAAGTTTAAAATCTTCCCACTTGTCTGTTGAGGAACATTACTCTGAATCATCTAAAATTTGTTGCACTGTTTCTAGAGTTACATGCTTTGGCAGACTAATAAACCTCTGCCTAAATGTAGTTTCTCTAAAATGCTCTTTTGATTCAGTCCGAGACCCCTAACAGAAGAGAAAATTTTCAAGAACCCCCTCAAAAACCACATACTGATAAAAAATAATTTACTGCCATTTTACCCTTTAAATGTCACAGGAATAATTGTTGTTTTTTTATTGGCATATTGACCCCCATGTGTTTATATGACATAATTAATCATTTATTGTAAATTTATTTTGCAAAGTCCCAAGCTACAGCTCACAGACCCCTGGGGGTCCAGGGACCCTGGTTTGAGAACCTCTGCTCTTACTGATTTGTTGCCAATTAACTCAATTAGTTGTAAAATCCTCCAGTTGTTTATTTTTTTAATCATTCCATAGCGGAGAATATATGTTTGCAAATCATTACCTTCTGTTTTTATTTRGACTTTACACAACCCAACAAGTTTGTCAAAAAATAAAATAATTTCTAAAGCAAACAAAATTCTGTCTGCCAGTAGCATAAAGCATTTAACATTTTTTTATGATCAAAATATTCAAATAAGTGCCTAAACCTCTTTCGTGCACCAAGTTTGTCTCGCATTTCTTTTCGCTTCAGGARATTCTGACCCATCTGAGACTCAACGGCTAATCCTATTAAATATCCGTCCTGCTGCCTACTTCAAGGAAAACCCCAAACAGTTATGTTAATGTGACAGATTGGAGCAGCACAGGGAGGTTTTCTGCCCTCTTCCACCCTGCTTGTCGGCAAAGCAAATCTTCTTATATCGTTCTTCAAACTGGGCAGCGTTCCCGAGTGATGCCAGAGAGGCCCGGCAACTTAGCGGGCACCTGTCTAGTTGGAAAATTCTTCCTCGCCGCAGGAAGAGCCGCGTGTGACGGTTACGGGCTCGTGAGCTGAAGACGATTACTTCAAAGTCTGAAAGAAGACGTGCGCGTTTGTTTGAACTTTGAATGTTCTGGAAGTGTAGATCATAAAAGGGGACAGGGAAAACACTCGTGGGGCGAGTGTTTCTGAGAGGAGGCAGACCTGGCTGTTCATTTGGAATGGCATCAATCGCCTCGCTTTCATGTCTCACATGTCTATAATCAAAAAAATGAAATAAATAAATGAAAAAAAAATCCCTTTCCTCCAACAAAATATAGCCAAAAGTCCAGAGGTGAGCAATGTGGCCTCTGATGCTACTTTGACTTTAAGCTCTTGAGAAGCTTGGTTTTATCAACTATAGGCAACAGCATTAAAATATATGTAAWATACCAGATTATACTAAATAACACTGTTTATATTTCATGCTGCATACATTCTATTTATACCAAATCACTTTATATGTACATACCGTATTTATTCATGTATAATACAATCTCATGTATAATACGACCCCCCCACACCTTTTTTTGAGCTTATAAAGCATAAAAAATTTAATCCTCAAACTACCTCCAATTTCATACAGACTTCAAGATTTTTCAGCCTTTGCAGTCTTTATACACATCAGTAAAATGATCATTGGACTGTTCATTTTATTTTAACAACATATGAACTAAAAGGTATTTTGACAACAAAATCAAATATATATCAGCTGTAGCAGCATCATATGAATTCTGGCATTTTACACATAGTCCACCAGGAGGCGCCAACACAAAAGTCAAGAGACTTTACATGAGATTTGGGCCATCTTGTGGGGGAAAAGCAGATTACTTTCTAATCGCGAGCGCCTCCTTTGGTGGGGAAACTTTTTTCAGGGCTACAAACTTTTTCAGAACACCGGTAGACGGCAGCCATTACAGACGAACGTGTTTGTTGTTGTTCCAGTAGTGGCCCGGTCACACGCTAATGTCATTAGTTCGTTATCATTACTAAGGCGCAGGACTGTGTTTTCCCCCCTCTTTTATCACATCATGTCGCCTGCCTGGATCTGTTATTATCTCGCTCTGAATCACGGAGGAGTGTCGCAGGTAAGCTCGTTTCAACTGCTTTTTACGACGTGGTTTCATTTCCGGACTCAGGCATTTTGTGAATGAAGTCGATATTTCAGTTAAAATACATAAGTAAAAATATTCATCAGAGTATAATGCTACACCCCAACTATACGAATGATTTTATGGATTAAATTTTACATATTATACTTGAATAAATACAGTAAGTGTGTTTATTTTGTTTTCCTCTAGCCTTTTTATTTTATTCTGGTGTGCTTATGGTTAATTTTCTAATTATTTTTTACTTGAACTGTCGCAGCTGTAATAAATGTTGTTTTCCCTCTAGGATAAATAAAGTATTACTAAAAAAAATGACGTAAAACATAAAAAGATCTAAATGCAAACATTCAGTGGCACGCTGCAGCACCGGTGTGGTTCAGCTGGTAACTGGGATATGTCGTACCTCTCTTGAGGACCTGCTGGACTTTGATGTGGTTGGCGCAGAAGCCGCTGTAGAGCTTGAAGTGGTCGGCGTAGTAGAGGAACGAACCCCCGAGAGAGAACAGCAGCTTCTGCAGGTAATAAAACACAGACGGGCAGCAGTTTTAACACAAAGCACGAGCCAGAGGATGAAAGGGTGTGAACATGTGAAGTCATGACCGTCAATCTCCAGAGAGACGATTCTGACACACACACCTCCTTCCCTCCTCCTCCTCTCCTCCTCTCGGCTAACCTTTCGAGCACGCTGGCTTTCAGCAGCTCACAATCCAAACCACTGAGCCGCAGCCTTGATCAATAAGCCTCACATCTCGTCCTGTCATCATACTCACGTCGCAACACCTCAATTATTTAAAGATTGTGCCTTCTCTTGGATCAGAGGCCTAAATCATCTAGTTTGAGAATAATGAAGTATAATTAGTCTGTATCTCACCTTAAACTCTGAGGGGGTCTCAAGGGTGCTGAAGTCAGGCGAGGAGGCAATCCTCTCCTCGAGAGTCTGAAGGAAGACCCTCTGGAAGTCCAGCATCTCAGGAAGGCTGCCAAACAGACTCTCCATCTAAGAAGGATGCCAGGATATGTGAGGAGAGCTGTTATAGATCGAGGTGGGGGGGGTTTGATGGAAGCGTGTGAAGTTGATTGATGAGGATGTATGAAAGGAGAACAGCAAAAACAGATGAGTGGGAGGAGGAGGTGGGAGAAAATGAGCGACTATRAGGCTATGTGGCAAAAAAAAAAAGAAAAAAAAAGCCAAGATGGATTGTAATTCACAATAGTCAGTCAGACAGGCACCCCGGAGTGTTATAAAACCTCCACTGTGACGGCTCCATCTCTGACAGAGGCAGTTAACGACAAGCTATACCCCGGCAGAAAAGTAACACATAAAAAAAATCTGTACTCTTCAACACATCCAGCCAGGGTGGCTAATACCTTACATTAAAAGCTATTAAGGGGCTGAAACGTCCCTGTCCATTCCATGTCCACACATGTCCCCATGTCTCATAAAGGCCATTTGATTTGTCCCAGGTCTCTGCAGACCAGAGGCTTGAGCGTCTTGGGAGGGATGTGGCGTGTTTSAAGTCAAAGAGGGGAGACCGAATTCATCAGCATGCTGCAGCGACTCCGTGTTGTCAGAATTTAATCAAAGGGGCTTTAAACGAAGAAAAATCACACGTTTGTAATGAAGAGCTTGAACCGCAATCAGTGGACTGAGGTGAGTGCTTCAGGGGTGGGTTTACTCTTAAGCCAGCCTTGATCAACACGTTCCTCCGGGGCGTTGGAAGGTCAGTGAAGGGGGAATGCTAATTTCTCCTGGAAGCAGCTGGGAGTTAGGGAGATGACCTGGCAAGGGTCATCGATAGGCAATAAACACTCAAATTAATATTTTACACAAATCAGAATCAAAGACGCACCTGGCTGCTCCACAGAAGACTCTATGGAATCTGTTTTTTTTTTTGCCAGTAAATAAGGAAGCTGAGGAAACAAACTGCCAGAAGAGATGATGGTGCGGTTCTACACAGCCATCATCGAGTCCATCACTKTATGGTACACTGGGGCCACAGGCAGACAGAGACTGCAGCGCACTGCCGAGAAGGTGATCGGCTGCAACCTTCGACCTCTAGAGGAGCGGTACTCCTCCAAAACTCTAGGTGGCGCAGGCAGAATCACAGCTGACCCTTCTCACCCTGGTCACAACCTGTTTCATCCCTTCCCCTCAGGCAAAAGACTACGGTCCATTCAGACCAGAACCTCCCGCCACAAGAACAGTTTTTTCCTGTCAGCCATTAGACTAAAGAACAATGTTTAATCGGCTCTGATGCTTCGCTGCCGGCCGCACTTGCATTTTCATTCTCATTCTTCTTATTGTTTTCTTGACTTGTTTTCCTCACTTGTATCACTTAGTTTCATTTAGTTCTTTCATTCCTTGCTTATGTGCACCACTACACCAGAGCAAATTCCTAGTCTGTAACTCTCTTACTGACAAAGGCAAAGTGTTTCTGATTTCTAAATTACAATTTTTATATCCGTTTCTACAATTCTGTCTACATTTTCCACATTACATGTGGCAGCCTTTCGTTCACTTCGTTCCAGATACCCGCCTTGCCTACTGATGGTGGTCAGAGGGTCCGGTGGCATCGGTGCATGGCAGCCCCACCTCTGTCAGTTTGCCCCAGGACAGCTGTGGCTACAATGTAGCTTACCACCATCAGTGTGTGAATGTGTGTACGTAAATGTATGTAAAGTGCTTTGGGGTCTGATGGGGCTTGATAAAGCAATATTCAAGTTCAGTCCATTTACCACTGCGTAAATCATAGGGCTCTATACAAGAGCATTCAACCTCTTTGGACATTACATGCATCTTGACCCCAAAAAAAAAAAAAAACAAAATGTAATTTTCACAAAAAAAAAGTGTAGTTCTCACACGTGGGAAAGAAAGAATGTGGGGCGGAGATAAGAGGAGAAGAGAAAGGACGGAGAGAGCTGGGAAATGKTTTTTTTTTTTTTACATCCCTACAGGCTCTGGGACATGAAATAAATTTGAAGCTGAGTTTTTGAAAAAAAATAGACTTTTCTATACATCCATTTACTAAAAACAGAGAAAAATGTTTATTTTACAGATAATCTGTACAACTTGAGTTCAAATTCACTTTTTGCCCCTGAAATTGGTGTGTTTGTGTCGAAGGGGTAGGAGTGTCCCAATTCTAGAGGAGGATGAAGGGGTAGGACCTACCTCGTCTTGTGTGAGGAAGGTTTCCTTCTGCAGCGGTTTCAGATAGATCTCAAACAAGCAGTCCAAGTCCTGTTAGAAAAAATAAAATAAAAGGTCAGTCATCTCCATATCATCCTGCTCATCCTTTAAAACCCCTTTCATCATCAGATTTCTCTCTCCATAACCTCCAGCTGCCCCCCTTCCTCCTACAATCACCTCATTTCCCTCCCCTCCATCCCTGCCGCCCGCTCCTTTAATGTGGCTGTAGCTTGTCTCTGTATCGCTGAGGAAATTCTCATTAGGTTGATTTATGAGCCCTCTTCTCCTCCCTCTTCCTTTGCCACCCAGGCTGGTAGGATACAGACAGAAAGGCCTGTGCGGAGCCATTCGGGAAGACAATCTTCTTCCTCAAATACGACTCAATGGCAGGTTGAAGAAGAGGAGTGCACAATGGGGGGGAAAAAGGGGGAAAAGATAGGAGAATACCAGCAAGTTTTTATTGTGGACAGGGGAAGACTTCTCTTACTAATGGTTTCTTTTTTTTKTTTGTTTGTTTTTTTGTCKTAACTATCAAAGAATGCCCTCTTAACCTTTCCAAAATGAAAGGTGAAGCTCCTCACTAAATCCTTAGAAAGTGCAGTCAAGTTTGATCAAATATTCATCCTGATTTCTTGGATGAAACTCTTATACTGCAGCTGTCGGAGCCGCGCRGTCTCACCTTCACGTAGGACTTTTCTGTGTCCACCAGCTCCTGGATGACCTTGCGCAGCCTCTCGGTGGCACTCAAGTGCTTGGGGCAAGGTCTGAGCAAGTTGCCCTCCCTGAAGCCCGGCTCTCCTCCCCGCTCCGCCGCTGCCGGATCCCTGACGTCGTCCATCACGCTTCCGGCATCCGGGCCCGAGCCTTCGTGGAAGGTCTGGTAGAGGGTGCACACTGCGTCCATGCTCTGGAAAACAGGAGAGAGGAGGGTGAGTTTTAATTCAGCGGAGGTGGGTGCATTGCTGGATAAAATACGGATCACAATGCAGCCGCACACAAGCATTCCCAGAGAACCAATTAAAACCAACTTTCAYGTCACCGTTTACCGCTAATGATTTTCATTTCAATGTGTAAAAGTGTGTAATTATGTATATAGCTACACGGTGCATGGTCAGTCATCCTCTTGGGTATTTTGCACTTTATGCTAATTGGTTTTATATATTAAACAAAGTCAGCCAGTTCATCTAAAAAAAAAAAGAAAAGACTACCAGTATAACCCTGACAAAAAGTTAAAAGCTCATTTTTTGTTCCTCTGAAGTTCTCACTGTCACACGATTTTCTTAAAAATTAGTCAAAAAATCGAGTTTACTCAGGTATTATTTTTAGTTATTTAATGAATCGGTAACTGTGGTTAATTTTACAGATAGAGCAAAAATCTGTTGTAGCCGAGTTATTCAGAACAAATTGAGCATATTGCATGAGATTGCCTAAATACTTATTTTTAAAAGGCATCTACAACCATTTCTCAACATGAGATTATCTTAGTTTAAAACTCTGGCATAAAAGGCAGTGATATGCATTCTTTCCTGAATTGATTTTAATTTGTAATATTTTTTTAGTCATGTAGTATTTTAAACAGAAATTTAACTGTTATTTTTTTGACAGGTGAAACCCGGTGAGGAGTTCGGCATCTTATTTGCAGATATGTTTGATAATCGGCATAACTTTTTTAAACTCACTTTAACTGTACGGCCTCAGGAAGGAATCTGAACATATGCATAAGGCAACATATTGCAAAGATTTGCATGTGGCGGCTAAGATTCAGCTTCTGTTTGCCGCTGTGGCAGAAAATCAACAATTAAAAGCAGTTAAATTCTATCTGTCTTTACATTTTTTGTGTGTCTTTTTAAGAAATCCACATCCTTAAAAAAATTTAATAAATCCAGCGCTGACAAACAACAGCCACATTTTGCTAGACTGCAGTGAGCAAGTCCTTAATTGAGATGTGATTTCAGTACTAAAAATGTCCCACGATGACAAATTCTCCTTATTTCAAGTGACTGGCATGATGTTACATTACAATCAACGGTCAATCCCTAAAATCAGCAGAGGCTGATAAGTGCCAGTAAAAGCAGTTTCCAATCTGCTGCACAGCAACACAGAGCAGTGGGACAGCCCCCGTGCCAAGCAAAACAGCTGCTCAGCACTCTCTGCCCYCCTCTGTTTGTGTGTGTTGCTATTCAAAATATCGCACGAGCAAGCAGTCGAGTGCAGCCCCCGTCACCCCCCCACTTACAGCAACAGACATGGATCGATACACCCTCCATTCTGACACTGCAGGCGTCAGAGCGCACGCACGTGAGCAGCGTGCGAACGCTTGTCTGACTCGTTTAGTTCCGATACCAGCGAGGCTACCACCCATAACTACCCCCTTCCATCCACTCCCTCCCTCCCGGGGAGCCCACAGACGATCAAGGCTTTCGTTAATAAGCCCGCGGCTCATCAGCTGGCTCATTATAGCTTGGTCACCCTGGAGATTTACACCCCCCAGAATTTGAATCTAGGCTGCAAACRAGACAAACCGAAAAGAAAGGCGACAGAACGGGGGAAACTCCTCCTCGTGTTTTTTTTTTCTAAATGTCTGGGCTAAGCCTCTTTGGAGGGATCTGCTACCCACATGAGCGCTCCGCTGTGGAGTACTTTGAATGTCAGCTGATAATTATGAAGGGAGTTAATGTCTCCCTGTGCACTGGTGGCGAGGACGAGACGGTCATGCTCCGCAAAACGGACAAACCCCAACATGCTGGTTCAGACTGACTGAATCACTGTGTGTCCCTGTAAACAAGAATCCAACTGATTCAATGCAACAGATTACATATCAGTGTTTTTTTTTAGCTTTTAAGGGTGGGGAGGTATGCATTTTCCAGGCACATAGTTCAATTCTATACCACAATCAACTGTTACCTTCAGTTCTTATGAAAATGATGTTCGTCTGTTTTCTTCCTCTTATCCTGGATCGGGTCGCGGGGGCAGCAGCCTAAGCAGAGAGGCCCAGGCTTCCCTCTCTCCAGCCACTTGGATCAGCTCCTTTGGAGGAATMCCAAGGTGTTCCCAGGCCAGCTGAGAAACATAGTCCCTCCAGCGTGTCCTGGGTCTTCCTCTGGGTCTTCTCCCAGTGGGACATGCCCAGAACACCTCACCAGGGAGGCGTCCAGGAGGCATCCTAACCAGATGAACCACCTCAACTGGCTCCTCTCAACGTGGAGGAGCAGCGGCTCTACTCTTGAGTCCCTCCCGGATGACCGAACTTCTCACCCTATCTCTAAGGGAGAGCCCAGACACCCTGCAGAGGAAACTCATTTCGGCCACTTGTATCCACGATCTCGTTTTTTCGGTCACTACCCAAAGCTTGTGACCGTATGAGGGTAGGAATGTAGACCGACCGGTAAACCGAGAGCTGAGCCAGAAGGCGAAGCTCTAGGTTCACCACAATGGACCGGTACAGCACTCGCATCACTGCAGATGCAGCACAAGGGAGGAGCTTTGTGTAAATAGGCGGAGCTCTGTACCAACAAGCATTGAGGCAGCTCCACATGGCTACCACAGGAGATTCAAGGATTCCTCAAACACATAAAATGAGTCAAAGCAACACCTCTGGGTGTGTTTTTGATGAGGGAATGACATAATAACATGATATAAAGCTAAAAGAACTCGATCTTGCATACCTCCTTCCTTTAAATCTTGCTGCTGACTAACTTTCACTTTAAGATGGTTAAACCTTCTTAAGCACACAGCAGCAGCAAAACTGAGAAAACTCTTCCACCAGGCAGACAGGTGGGACTGCCTGAAGGAAACGCAGAGGTTAAAGGATATTAAGAGCGACAAAATCCATCAAACACCACCACTCCAGACAGGGGGGAGACTGATAACACTCATATTTTATTTCTGCTCCAGACACCCGAAGGGAAGGCACGAAYAAGTGTCTGCGTCTTTAACCGCCATGCAAGTAYGGAATTAATTCTCATCACARTCCCACGACTCAAGATGTGCTCACATCTACACGTACAATAATAGGATCATGGAGGGGGCAATGGAGCTGCAGAGCAAAAAGTGATTTTGTTTGGATTTTAGGCCTCCCGCACAGAAGCGCACATTCTTATTTTCATCATCACGTAATTAAAGATGCCTGCACTGGAGCCTGACCAGAGAGGGGAAACGGAGAAAACAACACAGCTGCCTCACAACAATCCACGGCAACCCAGCCTGACAGCTAGCCCAAATACCCGATTAGGAGCTAAGGACGCAAGCCAGCGGAGACGCAATAAATGCCTGGGAGAGCTATGGAAAACAAGTGGATCTGACAGCAGCTGCTGTGAATCTGTTCAGATTTTCCTCCTGACAGGTGTCGACTCCCCATCATGTTTATACCTCAGCTCATCCCCTTAAGTCAATTTAGAAAATAATTCTTTAYCTGCCTTTGTAGACGAGAAAGCAAAGGATCATTTATTTTGTCTTCTGTTTACATTCTGGCAACATCCAGCAGGATTCTGTTTCATTTTTAACGCACTGCCCGAGAACACGCATGTGTTCACTGGCAAAGCAGAAGGCTTTTTATTCAAAAATGCATTTAAAGTCGAGTAAAATCGAAATGGCAATGTCACTCCAAACAGATCGAAGAAAGTCCCGAGCGAAAACCTACACGTTTTATTCCCCTCTCACATCGACATTAACGATTTAAACTTTAAATCAAACAGCTCCCACTGAATCAAGTCGCTTTCATGAAGGCAGCACAGGCCTCATGACTTACTGCCCTCTTTTCAAGAACACATTAAATACGAGACCRTAAAGTGTCACTACCTCTTCCAGTCTCCTGGTCACCATGAAGAGCAGTCGGTAGAGGAGCCTCCATGCTGCCGTGGCGTGCCGATGGGTCCTCCGCACGAGTGAACACCCCTTCCTACGCAGCTTGCCTCCCTTAAACGTTGGCATGACCGCTCCACATAATTACGCTCGACTGGGACCCGATAAATTTCTCAACTTTCCCCAACCCTGCCCCTCTTTCTTTGCTTTATAATTTACAACTGTTCCCTACATTTGATCTGGGTTGGAAGCTTCAGACTTGAACATCTCTGCCTCTCAGGTGGAGCTGATGAGAACTGAGTCATTGATTCTCTATCCTGTGAGCGTAGGCAGAGAGAAATCGCTACAGCCTTGTTTTTAACGTGCCGATCGGAGAGTTTTGTCCACGTTGGGGAAATTCTTCCCCCTACAGAGATTACCGTCCATTTCTTTGGATCAGCATTGCTCGTCCTACATCTCCGCACCTTCCCTCCATCTCGGCTCCTACTTTCGCGACGCCAGGTGACCGCTCTGCTGTGATTTCCAGAGAGCTGAATGACGAGGTCAGGAGCTGCATCGGTGTCCAGTCTCTCAATAGTAGCAGTACAATGTAGAGAGTTCTGGCTTGTTACCGCCACACACACACACACACACACACACACACACACACACACACACACACACACACACACACAC